CTCTGACTGCGCCCCCCTCCCCCACTCGTCTCCGTTGATTAATGAGGTAGTAAGGAAATGGGTTTTAGTTTATTTAATATATTATTAATTTTAATATTATATACATGTTTTTAAAAATTAAACTACCAAACACAATTTTAGTTTTTTTAAAATTGAAAACAATCTCAGAATAAAACTACCAAACACATTTTCAGAAATGATTCCAAAATAAAAATAAAAACGTTTTTGTTTTCATTTTCATACAAAAAATAAAAACGTTTTGGAACTAATTCCAAACGCACCATTTGTTTTCAAAAATTTTAAAAATTTGAAAACAGATTTAAAAAATAAAAACACAAGCGCGAATACATTTTCACATCTGATTTTCTTTTTTTTCGAAAAAACAAAAAACCATTTATATAAAGGGTACCAAACGTACCCTAAATTACTTTTTATGCTTTGAATTTTTAATTATTCATTTTACCCTATTTTATATTTTTTTTTTCCTTTTTTTTTCCTTCTTTCCCTCTCAATCTTCGTTTCTCTATTCTCTCTCTATCTAATGTTCGTAGGTCTGCTCTTCTATCTCATCACCGGCCTTTTTTTCTTTCAATAGCCGTCCGAATTACATATTTGAAGGTGTAAGCAAAGAATAATAATCATCCTTATTTTTTAAGGATTTGCAATGTGATTAAATTTGCCACTGATTTATATTAACTTTATTAATATAAGATAAACATTTTTTTAAAACTGCTGATAAATCTAAGACTTACACGATAAATTAAATATTTACTATCAGAACACATATTATATTTATTTGTAAAAAGATTTACCAAAAAAACACTATGAGGACATTTGATTCATAGATTCAGAATCATGATTTAGAATCATTCTCGTTTTACGTATATTTTTTATGAGAGAAAATACATCAAGCCACGAACTATGATTCAAATTATGGCACGAATCCCCCTTCTAAACGTCTCATATATGTTAGTGAATTGTCGATTTACAATGTGTGTGGCTTATATAACAATTAATTCTTTAAATACCAACCAATCCACAGTAAAGCTCAATGAAAAAAGAAAAAAAGAAGAAAGGACATATGTCTTTCTTTTTGAAGAAAGAAGAAGATAAGAGAGAAGAAAAAGGAAAAAAAAAAAAAAAGGGTGAACGGGGGGAGAGATAGAGAGTAAGGTTTTTGGTTATGATTTTTTACAATTGAATGGAAACGTATGGCTATGCAAAGAAATCACAGCAAGATGCTGCAAAACTACTGTGAGATTCGCCTGACAGCATGAGAATTTTGGACGCTATAAAAGAGAGATAGAAGAGAGAGAGCTAGAGTAAGAGCCGAGAAGAGATGGAGTGAGAGCAAAAGGGGGAGAGATAGAACGTAGAGAGAGAGCAAGATAAATTTTAGACCGTGTTTAGAATTGATCCTGTTTTTATTTTTTACGTTTTTTGAGAAAGAAAAAATGAAAATGTTTTTAAAATGACGTTTGGCGTAATAAAGACAAAAAACAAAAATGAAAACGATTTTTTAGTTTAGTGTAAAATGAGAGAGAGATATTAATGAGTTTTTTTTATACTGAAAATAATCTCTTGATAAAACTACCAAATGCATTTTCCAAAATGATTTATGTATGAGATTGAAAACGTTTTCATTTTCATTTTCATACAAAAAATAAAATCATTTTGGAATGAACTCCAAACGCTTAAAGTTTCATTTTCTTTTTTTAACCAGGTGCATTTAACTTAATTTAAACGGGGAATATAATTCATATTGTGTGCTTACCCATGCACGAATTTAAATTGTACTCATTGTTCGAATTGATTCAAACTAAACTAAACCAATAAAATAAACAGAGCTTTAAAATACTAATATAGTGTAAATTCAAATTACACCTATTAAGCATATTTACTAACTAATTATAAATCTTGGGGAAAATCAAGTAAATGGCTTTTATTTTTGACCTTTTTTAATAAATGGCCAAACATTTTATTTTTTAATTAAATGGGCGAACTTTTTTTTATTTTAGCAAAATGATCGTTCATTTCAGTAATCAATCAGTGTGTGACCTATTCAATATTATAATTTACTAATGATTTTCATTACTGATTGATTAAAATTGATTAATTATTAACTATATTGATTAATAATGAAAACTCATCGAGTTAATCAGTGACAAATTTAAGTTAATAAGTGATAGACCAGTAATTTACTACTAAGTTAATCAACGATTGCCTACTAAGTTAATAAAAAAAACTACCATTTTGCTCATTTACAAAACTACAGTTATTTTTTTTAAAATTTTTAAAAAAGGTCATATGTGATGTTATCCCTAAATCTTGACCGGCTATTTTTAGGAGAATTTTTAAAAATATTATTAATAAAGTAACAATATTTTATTTCTGCCTTTGTTGTCAAAATTAATCTTATGCCACTAATAATCTGTAAGTTATCTTTTTAGAACCGATAGATTATTTTTCATAACCTGCATGTTATCTTTCGTAATCTACATGCTATCTTTTGTAGTTTGTAAAATATATTTCGTAATCTGCAGGTTATCACTTTGTATTTTATAGGTTATTTTATATAATAACATTAAAATTCTATGGAATGACATAAATAATAGAGTTGGAAAAAATAGAAAGTGAAGGGAAAATATGAGTGATATCAAAATTCTCCATCAATCTCTAATTAAATAATTATAATTTAAATCTCAATATAAATAGAAATAGGATGTTACGGAAAATAATAATACGTTTGGTTTGATAAAATGACTATTGAAATGGAAATACGATTCTTAAAATATAATCATTCTTATGTTTGGTTTGCAAAAAAAAAAACTTAAGAATGACTGTTGTTATAGGATTATTATTCCATTAAATGGTTGAATCACAATTTTTAAAATAAACCAGTTGAATGATTATATCATTTCAAAGCAGATATTAATTAAAATTCTCTGTCTAAATTATCCATTCCAATATTTAAAAAAAATTACGTTAAATACCATTCTCACTATCCCAATATAAAAGTATATTTTTCTATTAACCCTAGTACAACTCACTTATCAAAATAAAATAAAACAAACATTTAAATTCTGTCAGCGCACAAGAGCACTACTTTTGCAGGTTCTTAACTTTCACTCATCACATTTATGTATATATTACTTGCTTTTTATTTGATTATCATGTGTATTTAATTAATGTTTTTGTTTTATTTGTCGTTGCTCTTCCTTTGTTTTTTTTTTTTTTGGGCGAATTGCTGGTGTAAGGTTGGTTTTTTCTTTGATTATGTATCACTTGTTTTTTCGTAATTGTTCTTGCTATGTTTTGTTGTTCTTGAATAAAATGAAAAACGTATTTTAGTAAAAATTTATACTATTTTCTAACTATATAATAATTATGATTCTAATATTAATTACAATGCTCAACCAAATAATAAAATTTAAATAAATCAATTTTCTATTCCTATTCCTAATTTTATTTCATTTCATCAAAACAAATCTTTTGGAGTTTAACTTGAGTATAATTCTTGAGTTAAATTTGAGTTATAACTTGAGTTGAATTTGTAACTTGAGTTTATGTTTGGTTGTATACATTTGAGTTATGGTTTGAGATAAGAATCTTTTTGAGTTTGTGTTTGAGTGAGTCAAAACTTGAATTTGTATTTAAATAGTATTTAATAAAAACTCAATGTTGATGAAAAATTTTAATAGGGTATATGGATCGAGTTTTATTCGTCTTTTCGTTGTCAACGCATAAAAAAAATCATCTCAATCAGAATTAAAACGAAAAAGTTATAACATTTTTAATAATAGAAAAAATATTGTTCATTAATTTGAGTTTGAGTTTCTGAACTAAAGTTAGAAGAAAAAATTTAAACTCAAATTTTAATCCTAAACTCGAATTTAAACTCAAATAAAATTATAACTCGAGTTGTATTTTTTTAAATTTTTCACTCAAAAGACATAACACAAACTTACCTCAACAGTTTTCTTCCCCTTAAAAAAAAAAACCCTCTCTTTGGAGTGCCATCTCCTACCTCAACAGTTTTCTTCCCCTAAAAAAAAAACCCTCTATCTGAAGTCCCATCTCCTCTTCTCGATTTCCTCTCTCCATTTCTCTCTGTTCTTTTTTTTTTTGGGATTCACAACTCCCATTCCTTTGAATTTGCGTTAAATCGGCGGCAGCCATCCTCTTCTCTTGTGTGTTTGTTTAGTCGGCACCATGAACTCGTGGTACGGTGTTTGCGTTTTGTAATTGTTCTGCATTGCTTGCTTTAGGCTTAATTTATATTGTCTATGGCTGTTTGTAATCTCACTCTGTTCGGCTTTGCTCTACGCTTAATTTTTAATGTCTTACACTCTCTTCGTTGGTCATCAGCTCATTTTAGAGCGGAACACACTGTTTTCAGCATTTGGGTCTATTTCCTTGGAGGGTTAGTATCCTAATAATTCAGTGTGAATGGCATCTTACATAGACTCCATTTTACTCCACCTTTAACTCAAAGGAAACAAAAAAAAAAAATCCCAATTAATGCTTGGAATTGATAATTGACTTTGTGTTTGTTTGTTTGTTATTTTTTTTTGTCGTTTTTTTTATTAAAAAAAAGTTGCTTGGTCTTTATAAGTGAGTTCTAGTGCGTGCCTAGGTGCCCTACAAAATTTTCAAGATACTCTCTTAGTTTTTGATGTATTCACAATAGTTTGTGTAAGCTGACTGATACGCTTTTAATAATGTTTGCAACTTTCTTTTGGTTGATATAAGCACTTACTGTTCTTTCTTTGGCTACAGAGCTGATTGAGCAACCTTTCTTTACATGTTGGTTTCTTATCACACAGTATAGGTACGTTTCATTTGTTTTCCGGATTCTCCTCTTGATCTGGGATTATATACTTTTACGTTTCATAGATTTTTCTGGCTGCTATGAGTTTTTATAATTTCTACATAATTATATTTTAAATATCTCATTGCTTTGTATATACAAACAGTTTGAATTCTTGACGAGCATCTGATTTTCATTTATAATCACTAGCCTCCTTGTAATCAAATTCATATTCTTCGCGGCACTAGCAGTAAAATTTCTGAAAGTTCTAAACATTGTATGCAAATCTTTTGTTTAAAAAACTCGTATTTGCACGGTCTAGCAAATTTAGAATTATGCTTTCATAATGGACAAACAGTACTGCAGAATAAAATAGAAGTTAAGGTGATGGCATCCGCGGCTCGGAGTCCCCAACTGAGAAAGGATGCTGTAACAAATCGGTGGGGCATTTTCTCACCTGCCAGGGCCAAGCGGCCTTCCGACTTCAAATCCAAGTCCCCCACAATTAACAGTAATCCTAACCAGGAATG